GGCAGAAGAAGGGCCCTTTGCTCCGGAGAGAGAAAGGCAAAGCTAACACACTTGCGGGGAAGAGGAGGGGGAAGGGGAAGGCCGGGGAGCGCGCCTCACCCTCGGTTCTTAATTTCCACCCCCTTGGTTCCTGGGTGGCCCTTTTCCAGGCCTCCACACAGAGAACACATGATACCTGCAAAATCCCAGACAGTAAGTGAAGATACAGGACACCCAGTTAAGTATGAAACTCATATAAACAAATACTTTTTTGTATAAGGATGTCCCATGTAATATGTAGGACAAACTTATACTAAGAAGTTGTTCATAGTTTGTGTGAAATTTGTGTTTTACTGGGCATCCTAGATCTGGCAATCCTGTGGGTGGGTGGGTGGGTGAGTGGGTGGGGATGAAGGGTTGGAACTGGCTCACTTTCTCCAGGTGCCAGCTGGGTGGATGTTTTGTTGAGAGGAGCGCCTCAAACAAGGTCAGCATTTTCTACGATGCCCTGGCAGCTGGCATTTCTGCCTCGGGGAGGGCAATGTTGCCTCTTCTGGGGAAAGAACCCCCCCACCACCACCACCACCCCCACCCCCGCCCAGCTGCAGAGGGCAGTGGGAGTGAGCCAATGTCCAAACTTTGATAATCTCGGGTGGAGAATGAAGTTCTTCATGACCAGAAACTTCCAACTTGTTGTGTAACAAAATGAGTGAAATCAGAAAATGTCACAAAGTCCACAACTCACTTTCAAATGTTTCAGCACAAACCTCGCAGGTATGTAGATAAAGCAAATATGGCAAGACGTTAACACTGACCTAGCGTTTCCTTGTGTGCTTCTTCCAACTTGTTGGTATTTTTGAAAATTTTCATAATAAAAAGTTGGGGTTTAAAAAGAGTGAAAGGCTTGCTGCAGAAAAGGGGAAAGTTCTAAAATAGCCATAGCCCTAGCTGGTTTGGCTCAGTGGATAGAGTGTCGGCCTGTGGGCTGAAGGGTCCCGGGTTCGATTCTGGTCAAGGGCACATGCCCTGGTTGTGGGCTCGATCCCCAATGTGAGGTGTGCAGGAGGCAGCCAATCAATGATTCTCTCTCATCATCGATGTTTCTCTCTCTCTCTCCCTCTCCCTTCCTCTCTGAAATCAATAAAAATATATTTTTTAAAAAATAGCCACAAACTAAAGCACCATTTATTGGGCCGCTAATTGTAAAGCTTGACTCCCGCCACCTCTCCCTCCCTCAGCTCCAGCGCCCTCCATGGCTCCCAGCTATGCTGAGGACCACATCACACTTGTTAAGGTGGCGTTTGGGGCGCTGCTCCACGTGGTGCCTGCTGACTTCTCACACCTGCAATTACCTATCGGTCCCTAAATTGGCTGTCCTTCGAGCCTTTGTGCTGTGCTATGGCCTCTGCCTAGAAACCCTCCCCTTTCCTCAGACTTCATCCTCCCATCCTTCCTGTCCTTAGAGGTCTCTCTTTACAGCCACTTCCTTAAATGAGCATCCCCTGACCCCCACATCTCAGCAAGGTCCCCCCATTATATCTCTACATGGCATCCTTCCTCTTCCTTTGTCCTCCAGAACATACTGCAGTTTGCTATTATGTATTTGAGTCTTTGTGAACTCCCTGGGGGCTGGATGGACACAGGGATGTGTAGGCCCTGCTCTGTAGCCCTCAGTCCTCCGAATATGGACTGGCTGCTCAACACCGGATGGCGCTCTGTCGGTAAACGAATACTGTACATCAAACTAAAAAACTGCACAGCAAAAGAAACCATCATCAAAATGAAAAGGGAACTCTCTGCATTGGGAGAACATATTTGCCAATGATACAGCTGATCAGGGGTTAATTTCCAAAATATATAAAGAACTCAACAAAAGGAAGACAAACAGTCCCATTAGAAAATGGGCTCAGTGGTTGAGCGTCAGCCTATGAACCAGGAGGTCACAGTTCGATTCCCGGTCAGGGCACATGCCTGGGGTTGTGGGTTGGATCTCTAATGGGGGGCATGGAGGAGGCAGCCAATCAATGATTCTCTCTCATCATTAATGTTTCTATCTCTCTCTCCCTCTCCCTTTCTCTCTGAAATCAATAAAAAAAATTTAAAAAAAATGGGCAAAGGACCTGAGTAGACACTTCTCCAAAGAGGACATATAGATGGCCCATAGACATATGAAAAAAATGTTCAACATCACTAATCATCAGAGAGATTCAAATTAAAACTACGAGGTATCACCTCACACCTGCCAGAATAGCTACCATCACTACATCAATAAACAGCAAGTGCTGGCAAGGATGTGGAGCAGGGGTCCTCAAACTACGGCCCATGGCCACATGCAAATACAAATATTGTATTTGTTCCCGTTTTGTTTTTTTACTTCAAAATAAGATATGTGCAGTGTGCATAGGAATTTGTTCATAGTTTTTTTTTAAACTATAGTCCGGCCCTCCAACGGTCTGAGGGACAGTGAACTGGCCCCCTGTTTAAAAAGTTTGAGAACCCCTGATGTGGAGAAAAGGGAACCCTAGTACACTGCTGATGGGAATGCAGGCTGGTGCAGCCACTATGGAAAACAGTATGGAGTTTCCTCCAAAAATTAAAAATGGAACTACCGTTTAACCCAGCGATCCCACTTCTGGGAATATATCCTAAGAATTCCGAAATACCAATCAGAAAGAATATATGCACCCCGTTGTTCATAGCAGTGTTATTTACAATAGCTAAGATCTGGAAACAGCCCAAGTGCCCATCAGTAGATGAGTGGATAAAAAAGCTGTGGTACATTTACACAATGGGACGCTATGCAGCTGTAAAAAAGAAGGATCTCTTGCCCTTTGCAACAGCATGGATGGACTTGGAGACTATTATGCTAAACGAAATAAGCCAGTCAGAAAAAGATAAATGTCTCATGATCTCATTTATATGTGGAATCTAAAAAACAAAATAAACAGAATAGGTCCAGAGGCATGGATGCCTGGAATAGACAGACAGATCTCAGAGGGGAGGGGAGGAGGGGGACAAGAAGAGATTAACCCAAGAACTTATATGCATATATGCATAGCCTATGGACAGAGACAATAGTGTGGTGAAGGCCTGGAATGGGGTGGGGACTAGGTGGAGGGGGGGGGGGAAAGTGGGGGACATCTGTAATACTGTCAACAATAAAACAAAAAAATACTTCACTCTCAGCAGAAACAGCCCCTCCTCCAGGAAGCCCTCCCTGACTTTCCCCTCCCACCTCACCTCCTCAGGTCATCCTCGAAGGGCAGGAAGAGCCACTTCTTGGGCATGTCCTTGAGGAACAGGTCCTGTTGCTCCTCTGTGGTGTCCTGAGACACATACACCAAGGCCAGCTGGGCTGCCCGCAGCACATAGAACTCATCGGTGAGCCGAATGAAGAAGTCCCTGAGAATCGGTGCAAAGGCCTGGCACTGGGGGCAGGACCCAGCGCCAAAGAACAGCAGCACCAGTCGGTTGTCCAGCCTGCGGCTGAGCTCTGCCTCTGTATCCAGTTCGTCCTGGTCACTGTTGTTTCGGATCAGAACTCGACCAGAGAATAGGGAGGCCATGGCAGCCCTGGCTAGGGCCTGGGAAAGGGTGCGGGGACCTGTGTGGCCCTGGGCCTGCTGGCTGGCTGCTGTCCCAGGATTAGGGATCTTTAGGAGGTCAGTTTAGGGCCTTGCTAATCTGCCTAAGCCATGACCTGATTCTGACCTGATTCTGCAGAGCCTCCCAGGGCGGAGGGCAGCTCCCAGGGCCCTTTCTCAAGGCATAACTGCAAATGCATTTTGAAAATGCGCAGGACTGCAAAGGAAGCCCGTCAGACTGACATAAGGTATGAAACCTTTTCCTTATGCGATGTAAAAACACATGCTTCTTCATGAGCACATTAAGTAATCCCGATTCACCAGGGCTCTACTAATCACTGCCATCTCCAAGTGGAGATGAGCATGAGTGGTATTTTGAGGTGTCTGCCGTGACCAGGATGTGATGTGAAATTATCTTGGGTTTCCAGGGGTGAAGGGGTCACGGGACCGGCCGGTGCCTGCTGTGACAGGCTTGAGAGGCTCGCTAGATTCCGGTGAGAAGTTCATGGAAATAAAGATGACTTCCCCCCTGAATTCTGACTGGACAGTCCACCTTAAGGTCCCCTGATGTGCAAAGTTGAACATCATAGCCGCTGTATTTTGCAGCCCCTCCATCAAGAGAGGGAAACCAGTTCCCCTCTCCTTGAATCCAGGCTGGCTTGTGACTTGTTTCGCTCAACAGAACACGGCAGAAGGTGTGAGTTTACGGGATTACTCTCACCTCCCGCTGTCACTCTCTTGGAATGCTTCCTCCAGATGCTCCAAGTATTAGACGGGACAAGGGTCTCAAGGCCTGGGCAGCTCTAAGCCTTACACGAAATGTTAAAATGTAGCAGTGTTTTGCAGGCAGCTGGAAACAGGATGAGCTTGACAAGAACCCAACCAGATAATTGTAGCCAATTGCAAAGAAGAAATCAATGTGTGATTAACCAAGTAGTGTATATAAACAATGGCTAAGCCTTGCCTAACTGGTCTGCTCAGTGGTTAGCATTGGTCCACCTATGAACCAAGAGGTCATGGTTCGATTCCCGGTCAGGGCACATGTCCAGGTTGTGGGCTCAATCCATTGATGTTTCTATCTTTCTCTCCTTCTCCCTTCTTCTCTGAAATCAATAAAAACATATTTTAAAAAAAACCCAAACCAATGGCTAAGCCTTCCTTAGGGGACACCAGCTTCGGATATGAATCCCCTGTCTCCGTTACTTGCTGCAAGTAAGTAAAACTACCTTGCGACAACCATGTGTCATTCCTTTTTATTTAATTTTTTAATTTAATTTTTTTTAATAAAGAAGGCAGAGTTTTCTTTTTTTAATATGTTTTTATTGATTTCAGAGAGGGAGGGGAGAGGGAGACAGGGATAGAAACATCAATGATGAGAATCAGCTGCCTCCTGCAAGCCCCCTACCGGGGATGGACCCACAATCTGCCATGTGCCTGACAGGGAATCAGATGGTCACCGTCTGGATCATGGGTCAACGCTCAACCACTGAGCCACACGGGCTGGGCTATTTATTTAATTTTTAAATTTATTTTAGAGAGAGGAGAGAGAGAGAGAGAGAGAGAAGCATTGATGTGAGAGAGAAACATCAATCGATTGCCTCCCATACTCGCCCCCATCACGGATTGAACCCACAACCTAGGTATGTGCCCTGACCAGGAAGCAAACCCACTACCTTTTAGTGAACAGGACGAAGCTCTAATTAACTGAGCCACACTGGCCCGGGCCCATGTCTCATTTTTGAATAGAGCACCCCCCAAACTGTGAACCCTTTGAGTTGGTTAACACAAGGAAGCCACGGTCGCCCAGAGGTTGACAAGCCTTTTTTGTAAAGGGCCAGGTAATAAATATTTTCAGTTTTGTGAGACATATAGTCTCTCTTGCAACTTTAAATTTTGTCATGCAAAGCTGCTCTAGACAATATGTAAATGAATTTATGTCTGGGTTCCAGTAGAATGCTATTTATGGATGCTGAAATTTGAACTTCATAGAATTGTCATGTGTTATGAAATATTCTTTTGACTTTTTTCAACCATTCAGAGCTGTAAAAACCCTTCCTAGCTCCTGGCGAGTTGGCTTTGGCCTGTGAGCTGTGGTCTGCAGACTCCTTTTCTAGTCTATTGGGTGAGAGGCCACCTGGAGAACTAGATGCACAGCTAGCAGCCAGCACCGCCTGCCACACATATCATCCTCTAGCCCAGCCACCCAAAGAATATAGCCGAGTGACTGAGTCCAGTGAGACCGCAGAGGGACTGGCAACCCATGGTATCCTGAGAAATAGTTGATGGCTGTTGTATTGAGGCAGGTTAGTAAGAAGCTAGGAAACACCTTGGCAAGTGGAATGAGGAAAACACAGACACATAGTTAAATAAGGCCAAGCAATTAACAGCCAGCTAGCCCTAGCCAGTTTGGCTCAGTGGATAGAGCATTGGCCTGCAGACTGAAGAGTCCCGGGTTCGATTCCAGTTAAGGGCACATGCCCAGGTTGCAGGCTTGATTTCCAGTAAAGGGGTGTGCAGGAGGCAGCCGATCAATGATTCGCTCTCATCATTGATGTTTCTCTCCTTTCTCTCTGAGATCAATAATAATAATTATATATGTAATATATTTAAAGAAAACAGACCAAAAACCCTTGAGATAAAGGATGCCAGTGCTGCCCTTACCGGTTTGGCTCAGTGGATAGAGCATCGGCCTGCGGACTGAAGGGTTCCAGGTTTGATTCTGGTCAAGGGCATGTACCTTGGTTGCGGGCATATCACCAGTAGGAGGTGTGCAGGAGGCAGCTGATTGATGTTTCTCTCTCATCGATGTTTCTAACTCTCTATCCCTCTCCCTTCCTCTCTGTAAAAAAAATCAATAAAATATATTTTTAAAAAAAAGAAAGGATGCCAGTGCTGGCTCTCCCTTGAGCTCGTCCATGCCCTCCCTTCCTTCCTCGGCGTGTATCTTTGCTTTTTTACTCATAATCTCCCAGGATTTCTACCAGACTTGCAACCAGGGGAGCAGCAGGCAGCAGCAATGTGCCCCAGGCTAACTCCCTGAATTTATCTCCAAGGGCCCTCCTTTTGCCTCTGTAACTTGTTTCCTGAGCCCACACAGCCCAGTGTGGCTCATTTCTGTGACTGTGACTTCCTTCCCTGAGTCTAGGCAGCTCAGCTGAGGCTCACTCCTGATGCTGTGATCTTGCCTCTTCTATTTTAAGTCCTTCCTTTGTTTCACTGTTCCTGGCTTTCGTAAATGTACTCTCAAAACCACCTGAACTCAAATCGTAAACTCCTGCACAAAGTCAAGGACCCACGTATTCCAGACTGCCCAGGGCAGGCCCTCCTCAGGCCTGGCCCCTCTCTGGTGACAGTTATGAAGCCACCGCGTTTGGGGCAATTTGTTACGCAGCAGTAGCTAACAAAAACACCTGCTCTAGAGGATTTTTCAGGGCCTGGGAAAATGTGGGAGACCCTGAAAGAAACTTGGTATTATTGGCTTTGAGCAATAAAAAGAAAACCACAAAGTCCTCATTGCCAAGAGTTTCATTCACGTTGTCAAGGCCTCATGAATGGATCCCTTCCAGATGTGCCTGTTTCACTCCATTTGGAAACACTTTCCTAGACAGATTTTCTTCACTTCGCCTTTGCCAGAGCCCTGGGAAGTCCAGGCCTGTTGGGAATTCAAGAGGGCACTGAGAGCAGAATCATCTCAACAGTGAACAACTCTGCAGTGTCCTCAGCACAGTCTGCAAGGTCCGTGCAGTGCTGTCCCACTTGACGGGGGAAGCACGGAGCCGGGCAGAAGCTGAGCCCCCCGACTAAATCACCCAGTGAATGACCGTGTCAGGCTGTAGAGCCAACTCCAACCCGACTGAAGCTGCCATCTACCCAGGATTCTCAGACTGCCGCACCCTTGCCACTTGGGCCGGATCACTCTTTGTGGTGTGGGGGTTGTCCTGTACATTACAGGATGTTAGCAGCCCCCTGGCCTCTACCCACGGGATGCTGGTAGTGTACTCCCCCTTCCCTGGTTGTGACAATTAAAATGTCTCCAAATGTTGCCAAGTGTCCCCAGGGGGCAGTTGAGAACCACTGTTCTAACCCTTTATCCAGTTGTAGTGGGTGGAATGATGGCCCCCAAACAGATACATCCAGTCCAAACCCGCAGGACCTGTGACTGTGACCTTATTTGGAGGAATAACAAAATTTGAAGATGTAACTAAATTCAGGATCTCTAGATGCGACTGTGAACCCTGAGAAAAAAACACTAAGAAGGGCTCCTGGTGGCTAACTGGGCTTAAATTAAACAACAACAACAGTAACACACACAACAGCCTAGCCCTGGCTGGTGCTGCTCAGTGGTTAGAGTGTCTGGGCACCAAAGCGTCTTGGGTTTGATCCGGGTCAAGGGCACTTACCTGGGTCGCAGGTTTGATCTCTGCCCCTGTCAGGGAGTGTGCAGGAGGCGACCAATTTCTCTCTCCCTCCTACCCTCCCTCCCTTCCATTCTCTCTAAAATCAATGGAGAAAATATCCTTGGGTAAGGATGAACAAAACACACACACAAACACCAAAACCAGTGAATTAATAATAAAAAACCTGTTAATTTCATTATAAGCAAATCTGAGTTAAAAACATTGTAAAATTAACAGGGCGTTAATTTTCACATATGACATATGGCCGGGAAGTTTTGTCCATTAATTACGAAGTCCACTAAACGAAGGCCTGCAAAATCGAGGGTTTACTGTACTTTGTTTTGGCAGCCCCGGGAAACTCATACCTTTACTGTGGTGGGCACTTGACCACGGCAGAGAAATTGCTCACTCCCACACGGTGCTCATGTTCCACTTACAGGGACACACCCATGCTCTGCTCTCTCCGTACCTTATTTCAATGTATGTTTCATTTCTCTCCTTCCAGAGAGTTTGAAGAATTCCTTCTGCTGTGGCCTGCAGGCACTTGGGGTCCCTCTGGGGAGGGAGATGTCCATCAGGTTGTGCCCCCCACAGCTACTGTGGTAGCCCCTTCATTCTCCAGATAACGAGTTCCTTGTCTGTCAGCCTTTGTACAGGGGGTGATCAATAAATATGTGATTTACAGCGCCTCAGGAGTCGGGTGTTATTACCCAAAGGGCAAGCAAGGTAGAGGGGAGAGGTGACTCTCCCAAGACCACCCAGCTGGAGAAGGTGAGAGCCTGGTTTGACCCTGAGTTCTGTCCCCCTGTCTAAGCCTCGGTTTCCACGTCTGTGAAATGGGAATAGGGCTGTTTCTTTCATTTCTTTTTTAAAAAAATTCTCACCCAAGGATATGTTTTTATTGGTTTTTCTTTAGACAGAAGGGAAGGGAGGGGGAGAGAAACACGGATTGCTTGCCTCCCTTACATGCCCGGACTGGTGGTGATACAACCCAAAACCTAGGCATGTGCCCTGACCAGGAATCAAACTCACAATCTTTTGGT